TAAAACAATCATTCTTAATCTGGAATCCAAGAACTTGTTTTTAAAAAAATAATATTTCATTAATGGTATTTCAATATTATTGGTTTCCTTTGTAATTCTATGTATTTTACTTATCTATTTAAAAGCATTATTTTGAGCAGGGTCCAAAAATTTCACTAGACTGACAAATGGGTCCTCTACACAAAAAAAGGGGTTAAGAACCCCTGCTGTGGAATAAAATAATTCTGAGTTATTTGAATGGAAGTTTCTTAATTGCTGAAGAGTTTTCTCCTGGGTGCTTGATAGATTTGTTCTGATATTGAAAATATGAAATGTAACCACCATCTATCTTGGAGTGTCAAGCAAGTCTTGTGTTGTTTGTATTCAAAAATCTAGGAATTTTCATTGAATCATTTCCTGCAGTATGGTATTTAAGGTTTTTTCTTTTTTTAAAAATTATCATGTGCTTCTGGGAGACCTGTGATCCTTACATTATCTTTGCCCATTCTGCTTCCAACGTTAGTCACTTTAGGTTGTATAGAATTTAAAGATGTCTTTGGCCAATTTTTTTTTTCCATTTCTGTATTTCCAGATCTCTCCTTTTCCTTTTCAAAGATTCTACTTTGGAAAGATTCTCCATCATGTGTTTTAAGTTCTCTACCTTATTATTAATTCTGATTTAAAAACTCCTGTGGTTTTTTTTTAACATAATTTTCATCCTAATATCTTCTTTTAACAGTTTACTCTCTCTTTTGAACCATTCTAGAATAGCTGTTCCATGATCCTTGGGGAGTTCACAGAATTTTCTTTTTCCTTGGCAACTTGATTTAATTTTCCTTTCCCAGTATAGTCTATACAATGAGTTATGGCCTTTATCGAATTTTCATGGGTTTTAAAAAATTATTCTTTGAATTTTCCCTTTTATCTTTATTAGTTCCTGAGTTGGTTTACTTGAGAGCTTTCAGCCTTTTTCTTACATTCCCAGGTGCTTGTCTTAGGCTATTCTCAATTTTTGGCCCCTCTCCTTTCCATTGCTGTATCTATGTACCCACTGAGTGGGTATTTTCAAATTTATTTTGATGAAAGGGGTTGGGCACATGGGCTTGCCTGAACCATTATTATAAGAAGCAGGGAATTAGCCAGTAGAAGGGGAAAGACTGAAGATCAGAGAGAGGGGATGATCCTGGGAGTAAATCTGCTGCAACAAAGAGGAGGGGATGGGTTTAAAGGTACATGTAGAAGGGTTGGTCTTGGCAAGAAGGGTTACTTCTTCCTAAAGGACTGGAGTAAAGAAGAAAACAGTGGTGGGTGAAGTCCTTTTGAGATGTTGATGTTTGTCCTTCGTTCTCAAAGAGGACTATAACATCAAGGAGGTGATGCCATGACATGCAAGTGAATTGGATTCAAGTGAGGGCTGTGTTGTCACCATCTGTGACCAGACACAGATCAGGACTTCTGGAGATGGCCCTCTTTTGGGATGTAAAAAAGGAAAGAAGAGAGTGCTCAAGAAGAATGATTTGTATTTTCTCCACAAAGTAAGTATGAGGTGTTCTCCACGGAGAAGGTGTTTAAAAGGTCTTGCTGTGATGAGAACCCAGCAGAGATGACATACCTTTGCAATGGACTCTCTCTAAGGCATTGAGGGATTCTTCCCCCCCCCCAGCTCTTTTCAGTAAGGCAAGAGAAGGATGGGAGAAGTAGTTGGTGGGAATAATCCCAGGGTTGTGGTTTGATAAGGCATTAGCAAAAAACAGAGTTCAAAATATTCTAAAGTAGAGAATAGTATAAAGTTGAACAGGTTAACTCCAGGGTCAAGATAAGAAAGGGTGATGATCTGGGAGAGCACTTGGGAACCTCATAATTATAATCATTAATATGAAAAGGTACTAAATTGCTCTTCTCTAGATTCTTTTACTAGTAACTTATATATTCACAGTTTCAGCCCTCTAACAGTTTCTAAAAGAAAAAGAAAACCTTGCCGCTAGCAGTGACTTATAAATAATTTTCAACATTTAACACCACAGAACCTCAGAATTGCAAGAGATCTTAGTGGACATCTTCTTCCACTCAATCTGTATCTAAATTAGAGCCCTTTACATTCAGGGGAGGCAGGATAGTACTGTGGCAAGAGCCTTGACAATGGACTCAGAAGAACTTGGTTCAAATCTTGCCTATCTCTGTGACCTTTGGTGAGTTGTTTAACATATCTGGGCCCCAGTTTCTCATTTACAAAACAAAGGGGCTGGAAGAAATGGAAATCTATGATTATATACATCCCCAATAAGTGGCTATGCAGTTTCTGCTTGAAGACCTTCAGTGATGGGAAATTTCCTTGCTCCAGCCCTTTATACCAATTCTGGACAGCTCTAATTATTGGAATGTTTTCTCTTATATTGAACAAAAGCTGACTCCCTTTAGATCTCATGTGTCCTTCCTACTTAATAATGACAGTAATATCTAACATTTATATGTTGCTTTTCTATTTATAAAGTACTTTTCTCACAAAAACCTGGTGAGGTAAGCAGTATGAGCACCATTTCCATTTCTTTTTTGTTGTTGCAGATATACTTTAATTGGAAACGCAATCGTGCATTATCACCATTTCTATTGCACAAAACTCCTTATTCCACTGTCAAAAAAAAAATCAGACTGGGTAAGTCACATAAGCCAAGAGATTGTACTCGTACCAGCAAGGGGAAAGAGTCAGATTTCTTTAAACACTGTTCCAGTTCTATATGGCACAACTCATTTTTATAGGTGCGTGTGTGAGGGAGGAACAGTAATGTTAAGTGATAGTGGGAAAAACGTTAAAGATGTTATATAATATTTTGTGGTTTCTATGTTTTCATTCTAATTCTGCTATATCTGTGTTTTACATTCTGAAACAATTTGCCTCAAACTAGTCCCTTTGATTTCCTAAGAATGTTCCTGTCACATCAGTCCTGATTGTCAAGGTTTCTCCAAGACGGTGTCAGTCTTTTTCTTCCTCTTCACCACAAGTGAGGAAACTGATGCCTAAGGATAACTTTCATAATACCAGACTACTCACTTAGTGTTAATGTTATTTAGAGACCAGGAGTTCTACACACCCTAGTAGCCTTCTGTAGACAACCTGAATCAACCCAGAAGGCCTGATTTCACGTGATCTATAATGATATAGGGCTGGAGTTGGGCCCCAAGAAGGCAGAGAACTCTTCACTATTAAACCTGGCATGCGTATAATTGAAGAAAGACTATCTTTGGATAGATCTTCATTAAGCTGAATGCTTCCTTAATTCCATGAGTTGATAGTCTCTACTTCTTTTACTACATTCTTTAGAGCTTTGAGATGGACACAATGTTGATACTAAAAGATGACTTGTAGGTACAGAGACTAGGCATCTGATAAATACTTGTTGATTGATAATTATTTGACTCACATAAAAAAAATGAGGTTCTTGTGGATCACTGCTTTCTTCAAGTTTCAGGTAAAATTCCATCTTCTGTAAGAAATCTTTCCCAATCCCCTTAATACTAGTTTCCCTGAGATTACCTCGAAGTTTTCTTGTCAGTCAAGCAGCCTTTACTTTACTTAGCACTGGGCTAAGGGATGGGGATACAAAGCAACAGACAGTCCCTAATCTCAAGGACCTCACAGTCTAATGGGGGAGACAAAATGTAAACAACTATGTATAATAAGATACATACAGGATAAATTGGAGATAATCCAATTGAGGGAAGGCACTAGAATTAAGGGAGATTGGGAAAGGCTTGTTTGCACATAGTTGTTTAAATGTTATCTCCCCCATTAGACTGTGAGGTCTTTAAGAGCAGGGATTGGTTTTTTTGGTTTTGTCTTTTTTCCAAATATCCTTAGGGTTTAGCACAGTTCCTGGCACATAGCAGGCTCTTAATAAACGCCTGTTGACTTGACTTGTCACACTGTTCCTCTTAAATACAATGAGCAGTCAGGTTAAGCAACAGTTTCGGGCCCAAGGCCAGGAAAGGTTGAGGGGCAGAGTAGAAAAGGAAAAAAGCCCCAGGGCACAGATATTCCTTCCAGCCAGGGGTTCGTTCCCTCATACGCCCACCTACGATGACTCCTTGGGAAGGCTCTCGGGGTGCCAGAGCCACGTCTAGGTACACCCAGATCTACGCGTACAAGCCTGAGCACAAGCACAGCAGTTGAAGGCACTCGCCTGCAGGGGGTGGCATGGATTTGGGGTGCAAACGCCTAGTCCAAACCCGAAGGAGTAAACACTGCAATATCAAGAGCGGCTGCCTCACGAAGGAGCTGCGATCAAGGTGGGGAGCTGAGGCCTCCCCACCCATCACCCCTCGAGGAAGCAAAACCTTCGAGGTGGCGTGGGGGGAGGTCACGTTTCCGCGATGGTTGGTTGGCTTGTGCCGAGGAAGCACTAGGCTCTCTACTTCGGGGGCGTGACTGCAGGGGAGGGGAGGGCTCGTGGATGGTGTGTGCGAGTGTGTGCTGGCGCTCGCCGGGAGCACGCAGGCGCCTTTCTCCAGTTGTGCACTCCCGTGGCGGTGGTGGTGTGGGAAAGAGGAGCAGCCGAGCCGTCCGCTCTCTCTCCTTTCCTCCCCACCCGGGGAAGGGAACCCGAAGAGACCCAGGGCGGCCGCCCAGCTCCGACCCTCATCCCTCCCCTTCCCCCCGCCCCTCCACGCGGGGAAGGCACGGGAGCCCAGCGGGAGCCAGGAATCCAGCCTCGCAGCATTGCAGTCCCAAGAACGACGGCTGCAGCTGCGGCCGCGGCGGCAGCATTGGCGGGACTTTTCCTCCGGGAGGCGGAGCAGCTGGGACTACCGGTTGCACTGAGAGACGGCCGGGAAACCCCCCTGTTCTTCAGCCCAGCCCGCACCCCTGAGCGCACACTCGCTCCCACTCCCGGAGCCAGCCCGGGCCGTGCAGCAGCCCCCGGGCCTGGGCTGGAGCGCTGACAGCTGCGGCGGCATCCTGGGAGCGGCGGCGGCCCCGGGCGTGCGGGCAGCGAGCGCGGGAGGGGGCCTGGGTGGCGGGCAGCCGTGCGGGGGCGCCCCAGGATGCTGAGCTTCCTGCGCAGGACCTTTGGCCGGCGGTCGATGCAGCGCTACGGGCGGGGAGCGGCTGGGCGCGGGGCCGGCGGGCTGGGAGACGAGCGGGACGGGGGTCCCCGGGGGGCCTCTTCGGCTCCCCTGCCCACCGCCCCCGGGGGCAGCGTGTTCCCCCCCGGCGGCGGGCCCGTGCTCACCGGCGGAGCCGCGGTCCACATCCCTGCGGCCGGAGCGGGCAAGGCGGCTCTCTATTGCCGGGTCTTCCTGCTTGATGGGACCGAAGTGAGCGTGGACCTGCCGGTGAGTGGCGATCGCCGACCCCCTCCCGGGCCCCTCTGCATGCATTTCCCCCCGCCTCCTGTTCCTGTTCTCCTGGGGAAGGGGGGCCTGGCCAACCTTAGTGGTTCGGAGGCCCTGGCCTGCCTCCGGAGGTGGGGCGGGGTCTCAGGTGTCTCCCAGACAGCCCCTCCCATTCTCCTGCTCGGACCTAGCCAACTTAGCAACACCCCCCTCCCCTCCCCACTAGGAGCCGAAAACCTTTGTTTTATTTTTCTTGCATTAGAAAAAAATTGCTTGTGGCTTTTGTAGGGGGTAGGTGGGATTTCCTCCCCCTTCCGTGGGTCCTTTAGGGTCCCTAGATCGCCCTCCTTTCCACCTCGGCTCTGCCCGGAAGCTCGTATGTGCATATGTGTGTTTGTGTGTGTGTGTTAGGGGCGGGAGGTGAGGGGTAGGAGCCCGGGAAATGGGGTGCGGGGGGGGGAAATAACACAAAACTTCAGAATAGATGAACTTTATTTGCTGGTTGCAAACGTCGCCCCTCCAGGCGTGTGTATCTGTGTGTGTTGGGGTGGGGGAGTCTAGTGCTGGCCCATACTGAATATAGGGAATGGGCGTGAGCGATTCTGGAGGTGCTATCTCTCTGGACTTTCTTCCCAGTGCAAGGTGCACGGGGCCCGCCCGGCCTGGCCGCCTCTGGCTCAGCGGGTGTCGGCGGCTTGGGCTGCCTCCGCAGCAGCCGCCGCCGCCGCCACCGCTGCCGCTGCCGCAGCCGCAACTCACAGGTGTTTGCTCCCCCTCTCCCTCCATCTCCTCCCTCTCCGCCCCTCCCCCGCCCCACAGAGATCCGGGCGGCACTGCAGCCCAGCCGGGTTGGGGGTTTGACTGGAGGCAGGGCTGATGGTGTTTGAGGAGTGGTGCTTCTGACCGGAGGGGCCGGGTCCAACCCCCCCCCTTAGTCCAACACCCCCCACCTCTCTTTGCGGGACGCTCTGGGAGCCTCTGGCTGGCTTTGCTCCAGACTCTGGGCCAAATGTCGCCTTTTGTAGCTTTTGGGGATAACTCGAGGACAAAGCGCTAATTTAGAACGACTGTTGCCAAATCTTCCCGAGTTTAATAAGGGGAGAAATAGAAGGTTTTATTTTTAAATAAAACCTTCAGGGGTGGCGTGATAGATGATTGATGATAGAACTGGGGAACCCCAGAGCCTCAAAACTGTTGATGGGGAAATTTTTATTAAAAAACAAAAAACAAACCCAACGCCTGATTTTGGATTTTATGTTTTTTGAGGCAGTTTTAATCCATATCAGGTTTATTTCTGAGGAACCTTGTTTGCTCCATGGGAAATCATTTTTACCATGAAAGTGTCCCTGTTTTGTAGTTATTGTTCCCTGAAAATATAAAGCCAAAATTGAAGCCTTTAAATGTTTAAAAATAACATTGAAGTGTTACTGCTCCCATAGAATGAGTATGTACTTCTTTTTAGCTGGGAAAAGAGAACTGAGCTTCTTTATTTGGAGGAGTGAATAGTGCCTTTCTTTTGAAAAGGTGCATAGGCTACAGATGGAATATGTTGCTTCAATTTAGATAGTAGGACTGTGTGGCGTTATTGTGCAATTCTGTCCTCAGCTCTGGGAAGGGAAAGCCAGGAACAGTTTTATCCAATACACAGAGGTAGTAATACTTTTTATAAAAAGGGAGGGGAAGAATATTGAGGCCCTCTGCATTGTTGCAGTTCTATGATGAAATAGCTTTAAATGTGGTCCATCTGTAGTATTGTGTATACTGTGTTCTGGCCCCATATTTTAGGAAGCATATTGGCAAACTGGAACACTTTCAGAGAAGGTATCCAGAATGATGGAGGAGACCTTGGCTTCCACCATAAATGATTAGTTCCGGTAGAGTGAAAGCTCTTTGACAGAGGGGCTTGTTTGTTTGTGGGTTTGTTTTTGTCTTTGTATCCTCAGCACAGTTTTCATAATAACAACAACAACAACAATAATAATAATAATAATAATAGCAGACATTTATGGAGCATTTATGGAGATGGTTGTATGTTGAACTGAATGGAACCTTTTAAAGAAAATACGACTGTTTAGCCTGGAATGGAGAAGACTGTCTTCAAGTATTTAGAAGGCTGTCATGTGAAAGTAGGATCAGACTTGGACTACTTGGCCCCAGGGAGTGAATTAGGAGCAAAGGGTGGGCATTATAGAAGAGCTGGATTTGGGATTGCTGTAAGGAAAAGCTTCCTAATGATTAGAGCTCTCCAAAAGTAAAAGAGGCTGCCTGAGGAGATCTCATACATTCTCTCACTGGAGATGATTAAGTGGTGGCTGGATTATCACGTTATAACTATCCTCAGGAGATCTGTGGAAGGTTAGGAAGGGGAGCTAGGCAGCTCAGTCGCTAGATGGTCTGGGCTTGGAATCAGGAAGACCTGAGTTCAAAGGTGGCCTCACACACTAGCTGTGTGACCTTGGGCAACTCACTTAACTCTGTTTACCTCAGTTTCCTCATCTGTAAAATGAGCTGGAGAAGGAAATGGCAAACCACTCCAGTATTTTTGCCAAGAAAACCCCAAATGAGTTCACAGAGTGAGACATGCCTGAAAAATATCAAGGATCTACAAAAATGGAAGAGGGACACTGTGCTCTGCTTTATAAATACTATCTCCTTTGATTTTCATCACAACTCATTTTGTATTTGAGTAAACTGAGGCAGACAGATGAAGTGACTCCCTCAGGGTCACACAGCTAATAAATGTCTAAATGGAAATTCGAACTCTCCACCTAGCTGCAACAGCCAGGTTGGGCGGAGTAAGTGGAATGCTGGACTCAAGAGTTAGGAAAACCTCAGGCATAGCTGTGTGACCCTGGACACTTAACCTCTCTAAAGTCTTGTTTCCTCATCTATAAAATGGGGATGATGAGACCTACCTCAGTAGGGTTGTTGTGAAGATCAAACAAGAGAAGGGCTTTGCAAACCTTAGAGTGCTATGTAAGTGACAGTTGTTATTATGTTGTAAGGGGGTTTGTCCAGGTACTGGTTGGACTACATGAATCCTGAGGCCCCTCCCAACTGAGGCTGAGATATGTAAAATGCTTATCTGACCAAATTTTTTAAACCGATGCACTAAATATACACATAAACAGACTTGCAAACATACTAGCACAGGCTTTACACAGATGATTGCATTATCTTGTGGCCCTGTTTTTTTGCATTCCAAATAATTCTTGAGTTTACAAAAGAATTCATTCCAGGATTGAATTTCTTTGAATGTTAAATATTTCAGTTAAAAATTCCATCTTAAGACTTAAGAATTAATCTTTTATGGTACAACAATTTGATTTACAAACAGCTTTTATGAACACCTATTGTGTAAAGGTATACCGGTGTTACAGCCTGTCTGTGTATGTATGTGGGCTGTCTCTCATATACATATAAAATAAATTTTTATTATTTATATATAATATTACATTACATATTTACCTATATCAATATATTATAGGATCGCAGTTTTAGAGCTGAAAGGATTATAGTTAATTTGATTTTCAGCGATAAGTTTCTTGCTGCACTTTCCAATCTTACTGTGCTAGCAAAACCCTGTAAAGCAAACAGTGTGGAATGCTGCTAGGGTGCCCCGCTGCCTCTGGTGGATGGCTGGGGGAGTGTGATATAGTGGAAAGAGTACTGGAATTTGATGTCAGAAGACCTGGGTTTGAGTCTCCAAATACCTAGCCATGTGACCATCGATAACCTTTCTGAATCAGTTTCTCCATCTCTAACATAGGCATAATAATACTTAACAGTGACTGCTGAAGAAAGGGCAGTATATAAATATGAGTTGTTTTTATTATTGTTAATGACATCCTTTGGGCCACTGTTCCCTTTGTTACATGAGCAGATGGGGGTGTGTGTGTGTGTGTGTGTGTGTGAATGTTGTTAAATCAGACCAGAGATCTTCAAAGAGAAGCTGTACAAACTACTAGCAGTTTCCTCTCAGTGTTTTGTTCAGCCCTGGAAGGGTTTTATCTACTGTCCCTCTTTAATAAATTTTTTGTCAAATGGTTTGGATAAAATGTCTGCTCAGGTGTTTTTGAATGCTGACCCCTCATAAAATTTAGGAGTGTTGGAGCCAGGTTAGTGAGGTGCTGTGGGAACTTCAGAAGTTTCAATGTGGCAAGGGGCACTTCTAGCGCAATAATTACACAGGGTTATTTGGAAAAGGAGGGCATTTTCCTATTTGGGGATACCCAGGTACCCCCCCCTTTTCCCTTCTGGAAGTCTCTCTTCTTCCTTGAGTGGTCATTTTTGAGGAGTGAAGCCTTAAGACACTGAGGGAGACAACAAATGTATTGCCTTCTAGCCTTCCTGGTCATCGTCCTGCTGAGCTGTGAATTAGTATCAGAACAACCCAGGATATAACAGGTAATTAAAAACGTGACTGGGTGGCCTAACTGTAATTGATGGCTTAGCTAGCCAGTAACAGTGTAAAGAAAGACTAGACTGGTAACCTTGGCAATGGAAACCAAGGCAGCACATTTCAAAGCCACTCTTGAGGAAGAATTGGTAAGACTTGGTGCTAGATGGCAGATAATAATTATGATAACAAATGCATATAAACTGTTATATTAGCAATTATTATCTCATTTGATGGAAAGAGAAAAGAGGGAAGACTCCCATGTTTTCATAGCTGAGTGACCAGGAGAATGCAGTGAAGCTGGGACAGTAAGAAGGAGGCTGGGAAGGGACCATTGTGGGGCAGGGGTAAGAGAACAGAATGAATAAGAGAATTTTCAGTCACGTTATATGTTTCATGTCAGGTCATTGCCCTGTCAAATGAAGGGGTCCCTTGGACAAGAGGAGGTGGGATTTTTAGAGAGAGATTGGGACTATATGGCTAAGCTTCTTTGAGGAGAAACTGCCCCTGCCCTCATGGAACCTTCAGAGGTAGGTCTGGAGAGAAAGGTGAGGATCAAAGATTAGGGTATTTCTCTGAAGGGAGAACCAGTGAACATCAA